ATTCACGTATCAAACACAGGAATTTCTCTAAATGGCCCCATGTGACAGGTGGAACAACAACAAGAGAAAGGTATACAAAACATAGCTGAATTTCAAGTCCTACCCCCACTACATATTGAATATTCTAATTTTTAAGCCCATCATTAGATTTCAAATTAGAAATAATCTGTGTGATACTGCTGATTCATTATGTGAGTGTATCTGTTCTTCATTTCTTGGCAATAGAGCTCTCATTTACTCTTTGTATACTAATGGGGTAAGAGATGATAAAAGGTTATGGGACAGTCCCAGCCTGTGAGTGGGTTGCCAGGGAAAGCAAAGTCATTTTAACTAAAAAGGCTGGCACTTTCTAGTTTCCAAAAAGAGAAAAAGACAGGGAATAAAGGGTGACTTTACCACAAGTGGCCAATGATGTCACATTTACCATTCCCCAAAGAAGCCTCATAAAAACTCCTAAGGAGAGAAGTAGGAAAATTTCTATGCAGTTCAACAACCAGAAAAGCCCGAATGGTGCCTGTCACTCTCAGAAGATGCCATGCAAACTCTACCTTCCCCCATTCATTTCATAAGCCTGTTCATCTGTATCACTTAAATATCCTTTAATAGCAAACTGGCCAACCTAAATGTTATTTCATTCTAGGTAGGCCACTCTAGCAAATTAATCAAACCTGAGAGAGGAATTGAAAGTCTTAGAGCTGAACAAGGCCCACAGATGGGGTTGTGCTTGGAGTGGAGTTCACTTCCATAACTTCTGCGATCTGATATAATCTCCAAATAGATAGTGTTGAAATTGAAGCAAATTATATGATGCCATAAATGCTCCCCGTGAGTCTTGACTGTTGATTATTGTAGTGTAATAAGTCCCTAAACGTCTAATATCAGGGGTACTCAGTGGTCTTAAGGAATAACAACTTGCTTTCCGCTCATCCTTAAGTCAAACAAAATTTAAACCCATGTAAAAATAAGAAAACATGAAATGAAATACATTAAATTGATTTCCTAAATTCAAATGTTGCAGTATTTCTGCACTGTTGCTGTTGGAAACGGCTTACTGGTAAAAGGTAGTACATGAAACAACACACTGTACATTTCGTTTCAACATCTGACTACCACTTTTTTGGAATGTCAACTCTGGCAAGTCACTCAACCTCCCTGACAAGAAATTTCCTCACACACAAAATGTAAATAATAAAACCCAGACTATTTGAAAGATTGTGTCAAATATTAAGAACAGAGCTAATACACAGAATTAAATCAGAAGAAATGATTGCAAAGTAGTTGATTTTCACTAACACCATATTTTCTAACAATGCTATTACCACAAACATATTCAACCACAGAGACAGAGGGTACTGGGACACTGCCATATGCTTCCTGGTACAGACAAGACATTCCTAATAGTGTTCAAATTCTATCAGTTCCCGTCATCAGGCTCTATGTTACCTGCCCCTATTCTATTTAAATTTTAAAACAAACACAAAAACCAGTGTTGGCAAGCCCACCGATAATAATAAATCATTACCAATGCCAAGAAAACGAAAGCTAAATTGGCAAGTTAACTTATGTGCTTAAAAATCAGCGTCTTAGAATTGCATGACATTATCTTCAAGAAAGAACTAAAAGCAGACAGAGCCTATAAACATCACTGTTTGCCAAGCCTTTGAGGTGGACGCCAAGGAGAGGCATTGACATCATCCTTTCATTACCTCAACTACAGGGCCATCTTTTCTAATGCTTACTGAATTCCAAGTATTCACCAAACAGCAAGTAAATTCTATAAAAGACAGTATGTGTTGTATTTAACGAAGGATTCTGTCAGCAAAAACTGTTTCTATCATATTTTTGTCTAACTTCAATGAAGCAACAAAGAAATTAAGATTGTTTTTCTAGCTTTCTTAGTATTTTAGTACATAATTATAAAAGGATTATTATGATAAATTTTCGTTAACTATTACAACATACTTATCAGTCTTCTTATATTAATTTATGTCATTACTTACTGGTTTCTTCTATTGTTTTTACCATACAGACAAGCATCAAGCGAAAACACCTTTAATTTTCACTTTCTTTTACTATCAACACTTCTAAAAGCCCACCAGGGTTGGGGAAGATGGCTCAGCAAAGCAATTGCTGTCCAAGGCTGATGAACAGGTTGAATCTCCAGAACCCATGTGAAAGTCATGTTGAGTGTGGGACCCACCCATAATCACAGTACAGACAAAATGAAGACAACTAGATTAGCTGAATCAGTGTTCTATGTTGAAGTGAGAGATCTTGAATCAATACATAAGGTGGAAAGTTCAAGTAAGATACCCTGACTCAATACATAAGCAATAAAAGAAAACTGAGACATCAAGTTTTGGTCTCTACATGCATGTGGACATATACATGAGCACATGTATGCATACACACATGCACATCATACACATGCAAAAAAGCACATATGAATTACATCATAAACAAAAGATGGCATAGTGTTATATGCCATCAATTAAGATTATGAAAACATTTTAATGATAAAAAAATTTATAAATTCCTCGCAAAATTTACATAAAAATTATCAGTCACACAAAAGCCATTCAATATAGCAAGATCATCTATAGCATTTTAACAACACTGAAAATACATTCTGCATATAATTTATCTTCAGGTATTTTCATTTATTTTACTATTGTTTTTTACATGTGTATTAATATATACATACGTATATTCTGCACAGGCATGGCAGGCATGCTTTATATATATATATTATAACATGTATAATCTTACATGTATATATATATTAATAACATGTATAATCTTAAAGGTTTCACATCTCAACAGACAATAGGAGAAAATAAAATGTGGGGACTGTTTCTACAAGTAAGGTTAATAGGAGAAACCCTACTATGACGTGGGACACACAAAAGTGACCAGACAACAGGAAATACTATTATTTACAAAAGTAAAAGAACTATAGTATTTTCTCATATTAAATAAGCATCTCCATGAGTCTGCAGTTTAAAACACAATATATTACTATCATTTATTTCAATACTTATTAATATCCATCTCCTTGTTCTAAAAGCTTTACATGCATAACTTATCCAACCCTCAAATACAAGGAAGAACCAAGATTCAAACCTAAGTCATTTGATTAATGCTCACTCCTTATCATTTTATTCTGCCAAAGACAACAGAAAATATCTGTACTCATGGCTAAAATAATCTCTAATTCTCATCTATGAGTACTGTATAGGCAGAGTTTAACATAATGGGGCAAACCAAATTAGCAGAAACTTAGAAAAGGAAACAGTATTTTCTTTTAAGAAATATTTCTTTTTTTATTTTTTAATTTTATGTTACATTGGTGTTTTGCCTGCTGTATGTATGTCTGTGTGAAGGTGTTGGACACTGGAGTTAACAGACAGTTGTGAGGTGCCATGTTAGTGCTAGGAATTGAACCTGAGTCCTCTGAAAGAGCAGCAGTGAAGTTAGTGCTCTTAACCGCTGAGCCATCTCTCTAGTACAAGAAACAATATTTCTTAACTAGTGGATGGATAGACACCACTTTTCTGGTGAAGATCAGTATGCTCTTAAGTTGTCAAAACTTCATTCGATGTCCTTAGGCAACTGTATTTGTATTGTTTAAGGCCAATGCCACCCTAATGTCACTTACTCAAAGGAACCAAAATTTCAGAAGATTACAACACACCTAAATTCAAAATGTGTTTAAAAGTTTTACTTTAAAAAGTTTAAATGCAACATCTAAAAATGTTCTAGGGAGAAAAGTATCGTATAACTCCCACAAAAATATCTTTAAATTCAACTAAATAAAGATGACATTATTAAAGATATCATCAGAGTTTCCTTCAAGACTTCTAGATACCCACTCCTTTGCACTGAACTAAGAGCTCAGAGGCTGTCAGCTTGGGGCGGCTCAGGTACAGCACATCAAAACAAAGTCAAAACCCTGGTGAGTCGCTTTCTTCCTATAAACCACCAAGTATTTCAACATAAACTGACCCCAGACTTATCAGCCAATGGTTCTTTGAAAAACAATAGTTTATAAAAGAAATAATAAAATCATCCTTAAAAACAAATTTTAATGAATAGTAATAGAATACTATTACTACTCACAATATTTAAAATCACATTTTTCTTATTTTTTTTCCACAGACAGAAATTTTAATATTCTACCTCATAATATTCTGCATAAAAGCAAACGAGGCAAATAGAATCTCCGTAACAACAATATTGAAAGTAAATAGTTGAGCATCAAATAATTAATTCAACTGACAATTCCTCAGAGTTTTCCCTCCTTTTCTTCACCCTTTCGATCACACACAAAGTAACAGAAGTGGTACTAGGAGCAGGGGTTAAAAATAGAAAGCAGATTCACTTACTAAAGTAAAATGTCTAGAAAACTGCTTTTAGTGAAGAAAAACATTATTGCTGAAACTAACTGTCCTCACTCATCTGACCAATCTCATTTGGGGTCTATCAAAACAAACACTTTAGGAGCTGAGCACAACGTTATGCCTGCAACCCCAGCTACCCAGAAAAGAAAAGTAAGATAACAAGATTAAAGCAAGCCTGGGGTCTTAAAACCACAAGAGTGTAGAGGGACTGGGATTTGAGACTCCACTTAAAACTTAAGGACCTGGTGACACAACTTCATGGCACAGCTCAAGGCCTTGGACCAAAAAAAATAAATAAATAAAAAAATCCAACTCAGTTTTGTTTTTCAAGTCTTAGTTGCATGTTATGACATAAAATTCAGTAGTCAGATTCTTATTGGCGGTTTTTAAAAAGTAAATAGCAAAGCAAGTTATCATGCTAGAGTAATGGATACTTAGATACTGCAGTACTTGAATGAAAATGATAACGAGGAAATCAGAATAATGTCTTAAAACAACTCCAAAGTTCTCATTGTGAGGATCATACTCAATGTCTGAGATATGGAAATTGATTATTAATGGGCAAAAATGCTGGAGAACATCCGTTTATAAAGGACTTACCTTCTTTTTATCCCTCATTGAGCCTTTGCCTCGGACCATTATTTTACATCCTGTTTCTGCTTCAAGTTGTTTAGCTGTAAGTCCTCTAGGTCCAAGGATTCTCCCAACAAAATTAAACTGCGGGGAAAGATAATATATATTATTCCCTTGTTGAAGTTGCATCGAAGTTCTTTAAAAGCATACATGTGCATTAACTTAATCTCTTCTGAACATAAACCAGGGAGAAATCAAATCTAGAACTCATTAATTTCTTGCCAAATGAGATGTAAATCATTGCCTTACGAGGAATTTCGTATGCACTAATGCAAACCATAGAACAATCTAGCTAAACAAAGGTATCTTTACTAAGTTGTCCATCAACACATAATCCAAGCCAGAGGATAAAGAGTTAACAAAACACGGGTACCACACAGATGGTGATACTCTCTACAAAATAAATCCAGTCCTTTAACAATACTTGGGTGAGAGTCCTGCTTTCTTAACAAGAAAAGTTGTCTCCAGAGACAACTGTCTAAGTGACAGTTCCACATTGCTGATAGAATATTAATATTCAAACTAGGATTCTGTCCTGTGCTACATACAAAACTCTTGAGTATGCTTTTCAAAATTATAATTCTTAAACAATTTTATTATTGATTCTTAATTACCTTTTTCTGCCAATCCCACTTTTAACTTATACTTTTAAAAGTTAATGCAAAGAGTCTAAATTTTCTATAAAAGCCAGTGATGAAAAGTATTGTATATAGAAAACTTTAGCTTCTATTATGCACGTTTATACAATTTGAAAGGTCACTGGGAAGCACACACCTCCACTCACCAGGAAAAACAACTAGCCTGTTATAAACATCATGTAACATTACACTTTTCTGATGGGTGACCAGCCTGTATCACCTAGATCTGTAGTCTATTTTATGCTGTTCGAAAAACAAAATTGTCAAACAGTGCACTTCTCAGGACTTACCCCATTGCTAAGCTACATACAAGTACACATATTTGGAACTTCCTAGTCCATTATTTATTCTTACTACATTATACCGTATGTACTAACTGTTGGAACTGTACTGAAAAGTATCTTAGCTATTTCCAGCCATTTTCCATTAATGCATATATCTCACTAATTGTTTAGATACTCAGTAAAGTGTGCATTGGGATCAACTACTGATCAACTACTAAAACTTTAAAATCATGAATAACAGCCTAATTTCATTTAGTTCAGCCTTCTTTCATCTTTGAAGAATGTAAAAACATCTTTCAATGTGCCTTTATATTTTTAAGTTTTCCTATAAAACTTAAAGTTAAGTTTTCCTATAAGTCTGCAAATATTTTGAAACCTACTTTGTTCTAGCATGTGAATTCAAAATTAGTTTTTAATCAGTCTTTACCCGGAAATTCTTGATTACTGATTTTTATAGTTGTTCTTGGGGGCCTTCCTGGGGGCTGTGTCTGCCAATTGCCATTGTCACGGAGTCATATCTTTTTCTCTTCCAACTCAATATTTTTATTTACTACTTACATAGCATACCTTGAGTTTAAAAGCAAATGTGTATCGTTCTCTACTTGCTACTAATTTCAAGAACAAGGTAGATAAAGTTCTAGGTGATCTAAGCATCTTATATACTTCAACAGATCAGAGGGTTACAACTAATTTTTTTAAATCAATTTTATATTTCTGAAATAGACTCAAATTGGACATTATGCATTTACTTTTATTTTTATGGCCTACTAGGTTCAGTTTCCCAACATTTTGAGTGGCTTATTTTAAAAAGAAAAAGACAAAAAAAATCATTCACGGAGCTGGAGCACGGGCTCAGCAGTTAGCACTGGCTGTTCTTCCAGAAAACATGGGTTTGATTCTCAGCTCTTACAAGCCAGCTCAAAATCCTCTTTAGTCCCAGGGATCCAAGCCCTCTTCCAGCCTTCCCAAGAGCCAGGCATGCATGTGCTACACAGACATACATGCAGGCAAAAAAAGATTCATATACATAAAATACCTCTAATTTTCTTTTCTCATAATAAGGACCTCAGATTTAGACACTAAGGTTATTCAGGTCTCCAAACATGTTGGAATGTTTCCAACTATCTGGATGAGCTTATATAAAACTAATACTATTTTATTTTAAATACTAATTGGAACTCACTGATGATAGACTCAAGCTTCATTAATTTTGTTATTTTTATACCTTAGTATTACCAATTTTGATGTACTATGGTTGTCTTTCTTATAAATGTGCCCATATTCCCTAGATACTCAAATTTGTAGAATAAAATTTTATATAATTATTTGTTAACCTGCAATTTTGTTTTTGTGTATGAGTGAGTATATGCCTCATGTACGTTTGTGTACCATGTTCAGGTCTGGTGCCTGGAAGAGGCCAAAAGAAGGAGCTGGATCCCCTGGAACTAGTTGCAGATGATAGTGAAACACTGTGTGGGTGCTAGGTCTCAAATCCAAGCCACCTCCCCAACCCTATGGTAAGGATTTTCCATTACAGGTTATCTATGCTATTACTCTTCTAAGACACAGACTGATGATTTTGCTCACTGAAGTTGATCCATTAAAAAAAGAAGAAGAAAAGAAAAGAGGAGGGGGGAAGAGGAGGAGAAGGAGAGGAAAACGACAACTTGTTTTGAAAATACAATGTAACAGGTGTTAAGAACCGCCTAGTGAGCTCAGACACTGGCTGCAGACACAAACCACAGCTGCTCTAATGAATAAAGGTAAACATTCAGTAAATGATTCACTGAAAACGGCCATTTTTGGGTTTGCTTATCACATTGGTACTTTGGCTTATTTTATTTCATATATTCTTCCTTTGAAATCTATTCTTAGCTTTTTATTTCCATCTTTTCTTCCTCTAAGGTTTAATCTACTGGTTAGATTTAATCTAAATCTGAAACAGATACTTATTGCATGTTTCCTACATGCTATAAAATATAATGATTTTTCAAGGATGTAAGAATTTCTCAATTACCTTTGGTTTGATTTCTAGCTTCCTATGCTATATACACACACCGTCTAATGTTTGTTCAGACTTGCTTTTCAACACAGGATGTAGTAATATTTTGTTTTAACAAATAAAGCTTGCCTGAAGATCAGTGTGAAGATTTAAAGAAACTAGAGGCCTGGCAGTGGTGGCTCACACCTTTAATCCCAGTATTTGGGAGTCACACGTCTTTAATTCCAGCACTAAGGGGATAGCGAAAAAAAGGAATATGGCTGGGTAGAGAGAGGAATATAAAGCAAGAGGAGACAAAAGCTCTGTGCAGACTGGAGATGCAGTCTGAAGCACTCAGAGGACACAATCTGAGGACAGAATCACTCTTTTGATCTGAGGATTCGGTAGAAGTAAAAGGTCTCTTCAGTACTTGTCTGCACTGTTGTTCTGATCTCTCAGCTTTCAAGTCCTAATATCTGACTCCAAGTTTTTATTAAAAACAGAATTCAAGCTACAACAGGATATAGTCAATTAAAAGTAAAATAAAAAAAAAGTGTGTTTGTACACAAGCATACAAAGGGGAGTGTATGCAACTATATCATGTGTGCATAAAGGTGTCAAATTCAAAAGCCAGAATACAACTGTCAGTGTATCTCTTTGTTGTTTGCCACTCTGCATAGCAGGGGTTAGTCTATGACTGTCAGAAGATTCTGTCCTCTGCCTCCTACCTCCTGCAGAAGTACTGGGATTAAAGATATGAGGTCTTGGCACAACTTTACATAGCTCTGGGGTTTTAAACAGAGATCTTTACACTTGCACAGCAAATATTTGATCTACCGAGCCATCTGCCCAGCTCCTATGGAATCATCTGAGCATGATAACTAAAACTTAAGTAGGTAGGATCTGTATCATTTATCAAATAATCTGGTCTACCCTACCACTTGTCCACTTAGAGGGCACACCCTACCCTTCTGACACATTAAGTATCTTTTATCGCAACTAGAGTCTTGAGACTACACAGAAAAAAACTAATTCTAATAACTATTACTTTAAAATTGTTTGCAAAGCAGATAAAACAAATATTGAAATCTATGAGATAAAATTTTCTTAACCTTAAAAAAATCAATTACTATTGCATCCATGAACCAACAAAGTTCAAGTACGCCAAAGTGTATACCATAGGAATTCTAATGCAATTGGAATTGTCAAGGTCATCCTTCTCAAGATGCTTTAAGCAGAGAATGAAAAAAATTAATCATAGCAGCTGTTCTGTCTATTGCAACCAATTTCCAGGTTAATGTGCTATGCCTTGCATTAAAACTCATTCGGTGTTGATTTACCATGCCAGTTCTGCAGCTTCATTCAATTAAAACAATGTCACAATGCTTTCAAAGAAAAACATTTCAAAGAGCTTGAGCTAAGTGCAACTTGAAAAGCCAACAGAAGGGAAAGAAAAAAAGAAAAAAAAGATAGTCATTAGCCCTACTGTTTAAGTATAGACCTTTTTGCTGCAGCTCACCAATTATATTTCTACCAAGTGGTAGGTTAATTTCTAAAAGTTAAACAGTTGTATCTACTGCTATTCATTTCGTTCACTACATTTTAAATACAAATAATGGATTTTTTTCCCAGTGACAAATGTAAATTATAAAAACTCCTGGAACCTCCTCAAATAAGCATAATTAAAAACAAAATCTTCTTGTGAGATATTACCAAAATATGACTGATAGAAACTGCATTTCCAAAAGCATCTCAGAAGCACTTTAAGAATTACTAGACCGTAATCTCTGATTAAAATTTTGGAATTAAAATAAAAAGTTATGGACTGTAGAAATGGCTCAGAGGTTAAGAGCACTGAGTGTTCTTCCAGAGATCCTGAGTTCAATTCCCAGCAACCACATGGTGGCTCACAACAGTCTATAATGAGATCTGGTGCCCTCTTCTGGTCTGCAGGCAAAAATGCAGACAGAACACTGCATACTGAATGAATGAATGAATGAATGAATGAATGAATGAATGAAATAACATGCAAGTTTTAGGTTGGTTTTTTGTTGAGGCAAGATTTCTCTAGGTAGCCATAGTAGTTTTGGAAATTGCTCTGTAGACCAGGCTGGCCCTGAACTCACAGAGATCTGCATGCTACCACCACTACCCAGCATTGGCTTGCTCTTTTGTACAAGA